TTTGCAGCGCACATTTAGCATCATCAAAAACTGTTTTTCTCCACATCAAATTCTATTTTGCGAGATGTATAGTGCAGAAGGTAAGGGCTCAGGAGCATGGTACGGAGCGATGGTGGCTGCTACAATGCCGTATGACGTCGCATGTTAGGCATGTATACAGTAGATTCTGTTATTGGTTGAGCGTGTTGGTGTACGTCTTATTTACACCGGTTGTGATTCTGTTCTTGAGCGCTATTCGGTTTTACAGGCGCCGACTACGGGGGGGGGGGGGGGGGGGGGGGGGGAGGGGGGAGGGGGGGGGGGGGGGAGGGGAGGGGAGGGAGGGAGGGAGGGGGGGAGGGCCCCCCCTCCTAAGGTTGGCTCAAACCCCCCTCCCCCACCCAAAAAAAAATTATAATTTCTCGGGGGAGGGGGGGGGGGTGGGGGGACTTTCGTGGCAGCGAGAGAGCCTCGCACTCCAGTCTGAGTAGTCTGCTGCGGTGTCCACAATTGCCGATGCGTTGGGGGTCATCGATAACAACGTTTAGGTTGTTGAGCACCGTTGCAGGGGCGTCATTGCGATGCGTGGCTTCGGGAGAGTGTGAGGGCTCCTGCGTTCTTGGAAGCTTTTTACTTCGGTCAACTTCGGCAGCGTCACCCCCCAGGCGTTGCCGCACTTAGTCTTTCCGGCAACGCAGAGGAGACGGAGAAAAAAAGCAACGAATTCTCTAATCAGCCCTGTACTCATAAGCGCGTGCCTTGTGGGTCTCGCAGAAAAATGGCGGTGGGGTGTGGCTGGGAAGAAGGGCAAGAAGGATCGCCCACGATGGAAAGGAGGGTGATGTGGGGAGAGGGGGAATTGCGCATATTTCAATATATAGGGACCTTAACTTGAACGGGTTAGTGACACCACCAAGTGGCTGTTTCTATTTTTATATTTTTTTTTATTGTGGTATACTTGCATTAATATGAAAAATATAATGTAAATCTGCTTTTTAACAACATGTGTAACACATTTTTCCAACTGTGGCCACCTTGTTCCAAATGATTTTGGTGCGACATGTGGGGGTTTGCTAGCTAGTAACAGAGGTACCGAGGAGTAACATCTCAACCGCGGTGGCGATCTCGAAGGAGACGTCAAATCTAGTAGCACGGTCCCGCACATCCCCACGGCAATATAGACAATGTTTAGGGCCATATTACCACGGGTCGGGTTCAAGAAACTAACTCCGTCGGGTGCCAATGATCTAATACCTTGTCTCACTCTCTCGAATATAGCGGAAAGAGAAGACACACATACCAGAGTAAGGACAGAGTCCTACAGCATTTATTAAAACACCCTACTATACGAAAATAATATGTCCCCATCCAAAATGCCCCCCACGCCGGCAAGGTAAGAAAAGATTTTTACCTGCCAGACGCGGGGTTCCGGAGAGCCAAGGGGGCGGGAAATCATTGAAGAAGTCGCCGATACACGTCCTATCTCTTTCACGGTCACCGGACGAGTCCCTCTCTCGAAAGTGGGAAAACAAGAGGCGAAATCTCCTCGCTTGTCAGCAGTGATCCAAATCCGACGCGGGGGACGGAAAGGGGGTCCCCCGTGAGAGAATGAGAGTAGACAAGACAGGGGACCCTCCGCTTCACCAACAGGTCGGAACTCACAGTGATGGAGGCCGAACGTTCTGACAAAGCGGCTGTTATCACAGCCATCGGCGAAGGGACACCACAGGAATCCCCACAGACAAGACACTGAAACCAAATCAAGCGCGACCAAAAGGCGCTGGTGCAGCACGAACCGGCATGAACAGTGGCGCGAACGGCAAGAACGCTTGGTCGTCTGCTCCGTCCATCGGGCGTCGTCGATACTGAGCTAGTTGGTGATTAGTACTTCTGAAAGATGCCAGCTGAATGTAGAAAGATACACAAAGAGAGATAGAAAGAAAATAACACACTGCAGGACTATTGGTTATTTACCAAAATATTTTTTCACACCCACTAGTTTTATATCTCAGAACTAATGGGTGTGGAAGAAGAAGAGTTTCATCTTCAGTAAATGGTTGCTTGTCCAGCTGTTCCAAGCATCTTTCTACGGAAGAGGAGGGCACCTGAATGAATCCGAAAAGCTTACGCAAAGTGGAGACAAAGCGAGGTAAAGATTACCAGTTGCGTGTCTCTTGTGGAGTTGCTTAGCAGCATGCTTGGCAGCTTGCGTTGGGCTTCACCGCACTGCCAGTTTGGCAAACGCTTCCCTGGCTCCGCCGCACATACTATTTGCCCTCTTCCTTCCGCTTGCCACTTTTTGGAGCCCACAGGCATAGTGTACATTTTTTTTCCTAGAACTTACACTCGTGCATTTCGAGTATGATAAATGGTCTATACCTAAAGACACTCGTGCAGGAAGTTTCATTGCACTGCGTAATTAGCAATTATTAATATGTATTTTTTTTTTTTACAACCGAATAGTGCTTGAGAACGCCCTACAGAGTCTTAACAAAATGCTTGGACCCTAGTCTTCCATAAGAAAAATCTCATCTGAGATTAGAGGGTTATCATCAGGCTTTAAACTTGGTCAACTCATTGCTGAAATTGAAGTTGTCTTCCTAATTGTGGCATGTGAAAAAGAGCAGTGGCACCTGCCGCGTGCCGCACATGAGTTTTATTGGTTTATGTGGGTTTTAAATTTTATCATGTTCAAAGGTGACAGAAGCTAAGGGTCTATTGTTTTTTGGGGAATGCAGGTAGTTCTGGTGGAGCGTACAGCACGACTGGGGGGTTGGATACGTTCCAGCCGTTTTCCCGACGGCACTGTCTACGAGCATGGACCCCACGGCTTGCGCACAGCCGGCGAATCCGGTCGTAACACACTGCAGCTGGTGAGCAATGTTGGAGAATCGTGTCCCTGTAGAGCGCGTGTCATATCATCCAGCAAGATGCACCACCAGGCGGGTTTCTACATGTTTACGGTTGTCAATGTTTAAATTTTAATAAGAAATAATTGGGTATTATAGGTATCTAGTGTGCCTGGGTGTTACTTGAGCACGTAAAGATTAAGTGAAAGCATTGTGTAAAGGAGCAAACAGGTACAAAGAAGCTAGAAAGAGTGATGTAGTATACAACCTGAATGTGCACACAAATTTTTTCTTATCTTGACGAGTATATTGCATGATGCCAAAGCTTGTGGCATAATGCCACAAGCTTTGGCATTATGCATCCTTAAAAAAATCTGGATGAAAATATAAATAAATTCAAGTAGCCAGCATAATTTTCTATTTATGTTTACACTCCACTTCAATATTTGGAACACATTTCTTTTTTTTTTTTGTTTGTCTATGTGAATAGCAAAAGACAGCTACGCTGTTCATGAGTAATGAAAGTAAAAAATAAGGGGCATTTTTCGAGCTAAACACATAGGAACTTTAGTGTTGTATAAATACACTACTGATCACCGAGAGCTCGGACTAGGAGTTGCAATAAGCTGCAAAAGTTTCAGCCCACACTGTCTTCTGAATCTAGAGTTAAAGGCAGGCCTTATAAACACCTAGAAATGAATAACATTTGCTGTCAATGAAGGCTATGCCATCATCTCACTGAAAGTAGGAAAATGACCTGCCAGGCGGTCGTGCAATTAAAAAAAAAAAAGACATGCTGTGGACATACTTTGCATCGTCTCCAAGAGCTTGCCAACTGAGGATTTTGGCAGTCACCTATGCACCATAGTGTGAGGGGGGCTGGTGAAACCGCCACGTCCTCCCAAGTCCAGCCCCGATTTTGGCCTTGAGCGAGTGGCTTCCCCTGTTTTGGCTGTTCCATCAAGTGCTACGTTGCGGAGCAGTTCTTAGGCTGCAGCGAGGATAGTGCTCCCGTTAGATGAGGCACAGTCTGTGTGTTCCGTATTAGTTTGGAGAACTGCTTTTCGCTAATTTCAACACTTTCTAATCGTTGACTCGGGGATGGGCAGACAAAGAGCAGCACGAAAGGCCCAGGGATAAAGTCTCGAATTTATGCGTCTGTGTCTAATGCTTTTGTTTCCCTCGTACCTCTTTTTTTTTTCCAGCTCGGGGGAGGCCACATTGATACACCACTCGATAGCCTGTCTTTCTAACTTTTTCCGCATGAATTCTTTCGATTTCCATACCTGGAAATTGTATTCCGGGTACAGAATACATTGTATTCCGTGCCAAACATTGAAGAAACCTGGGATGTGGGCGGCAGTGCAGAAAAAGTACAAGCCGGAGTGAAAACACAGAGTGCCCGCTTATAGTAAGCAAAACCTAGCCGATGACTCGGAGGTCTACACCTAAATAAGACTCAACATGTTGATTCAGGTACTTTGTGTTCAGACTTTAGCGGTGTAGAAAAATGAAATTATTTACAACCAAGGAGTGCTTGGAGCAAGCACCGGCCCATTACAGTGTGCCCCACACCATTTTTAGATTAGACCTATATGTAACTCAACACATAGGTTTGGGTACTTTTTCATGTTCAAACTTTAGTGGAGTCGAGAAAAAAGTTGTATTTGTCGCCCACAATGTGCGAGGGAACGAAAGCGATAGCTGTAGCACGGTCACGCAATGCGGGTGGAGTGGTACCGTCACATACCTGAGGATGGAGGTGCGACGTGGTTAATTCTCATGGCCGTCGTGGTTTGTGTCCTGGATGCCACTGATGACCGCCATCAGTGGTTCGTGAAGTAAGTGGGCAAGCGCGGCGGAAGTCTCGAAAACCAACATTACGCATAGTAACTGGATACTGCCGAAGTGGGATCCCGTGTATCGTGAGTAATGCAAGTGTTTGAAGCAGACGACAGGAAGACTCTCCCTTTGTCGCATAGTTACTGGTGGGGTGCTGGGGCTCCCCTCTCTCTCTCTCCGTGCTGCGCGGCCGTAGGGAAGACCCGACTTCTCTCTTCCTGCGTCAAGAGGGGAGAGGGAAGGTTTTTCCATAGCAGCGACGACAGCCCACGGAGCTTAAAGTGTCACCTGTAAAGCTATTGCTTTAAAATGAGATTACTTACAATCGGGCAGCACTTGGATCAAGCAACTATCTTTCTACAGTGTACCACCAACCATTTTATATGTGACATTGTACTTGATGCACTTCGTCGCTATCTACTGCCACTTGCTGCAGGTGGAAGAGCTCGGCCTTCACAGCCAGGTCCTGCCGGTAGCGTCCAGTTCCCCCGCGGGGAAACAGCAGCTGGTGCTGGCAAAGGGGAGGCTGGGTCCGCTGCCCATCAGTTTCGGCCGGCTGCTGTGGCCAGGTTCCCCCTTTACAACTCCGCTGCTGGTGCCCCTCCTCAAGGACCTTTTCTGGGCGGGCACCCCAGGGGAGGACCAAGACGAGAGCGTGCACGACTTCACCGTGCGCCGATTCAACCGCCAGGTACGTCTGGGCAGAGCATGCTCTGCTTTGTTTTCTGGAAAGCTGTCTCACTTTCTGGACAAGGAGTATCTCTAGTGGGCACTCAGGCACTCGGTTTACAACTGAAGGAGAGGAGGAGATAAGGTGCGGTGAGAGGGATTGATCATTGTTGCGACAAACTTCTGCCCTTCCAGCTGCTCCTCAGTCCTGAGCAGACGTCTTGACCTTGTGTTCCTTCTTCATTGAAACATGTCTAGTAGTTATTAGCTGAAAAAAAATAGCATATCCTTCGAGGTATTTCCTCCTTCCTTTTTTGCAGGCCAAGTCCTCAATCAAAAAGAACTGGTGGATTTCTGTAAACAGTAGAAAAGATAAGACGGCAGTTGGTAGGACTTGCAGATGATGCCGGTGTTTGGTGTTTGACACCTGAACACCAGATTGTCATGGTTGCAAATCCACAAATATAAGAGAAAAAATAAAAAATAAACTCGCGTTAAAGAAAGAAGAAGGGCTGAGAGAACGGAAAGGGTTGGCACATCTTTGGCTACATTCTGAAGCAAGGCTACCTGTGGCCGGTGATGCCCTGCCCTGGAAGACTACGGACCTCCGGCGCGTCTTTGGCTTTGCTCCAAAGCAAGACCAGCCGTAACCAGTAATGTTCCCGCCTGGGAAGACTACGAACCTCCGGCGCATCTTTGGCTACGCTCCGAAGCAAGACTACCCGTGGCTGGGAAGACTGTGGACTTTCGAGGCATTTTTGGCTATGCTCTGAAACAAGACTACTCGTGGCCGGTGACGCTTCTGCCCGGGAAGACTATAAACCCCCGGCGCATCTTTTTTATGCTCCGAAGCAAGACTACCCATGGCTGGGAAGACTTTGGACCTCCGAGGCATCTCCGGCTATGCTCCGAAGCAAGGCTAACCGTGGCTGGTGACGGTTCTGCCCAGGAAGACTGAACCTCCGGCACACCTTTGGCTACGCTCCGAAGCAAGACTACTTGTGGCCGGTGACGCTCTTGCCCGGGAAGACTATGGACCTCCGAGGCATCTTTGGCTACACTCCAAAGCAAGACTACCCGTGGTTGGTGACACTTCCACCCGGGAAGACTAGGGACATCCGGCGCACCTTCGGCTACGTTCCGAAGCAAGACTACCCGTGGCTGGTGATGCTCCCGGGAAGACTACGGATATCCGGTGCATCTTTAGCTGTGCTCCGAAGCTAGACTACCCGTGGCCGGTGACGCTCCCGCCAAGGAAGACTATGAACCTTCAGTGAATATTTAGCTATGCTCCGAAGCAAGACTACCCATGGCTGGAAAGGCTATGGACCTTTGAAACATCTTCAGCTCTGCTCCGAAGCAAGGCTACCCGTGGCTGATGACGCTTTCTCCCGGGAAGACTATGAACCTCCGACGCATCTTTGGCTATGCTCCGAAGCAAGACTAGCTGTGACCGATAATGCTCCCGCCCGGGAAGACCACAAACCTCCGGCGCATCTTTGGCTACTCTCCGAAGCAAGACTACCTGTGGCCAGTGGCGCTCCCGCCCGGGAGGACTATGAACCTCAGGAGGCATCTTTGGCTACCCCAGTTGAAAATTCCAATTAAGTTCCAATTGGAATTTTCTTTTTGGTACCAATTGGGTTTTTGGACAAGCAATTGGTCAATGCCAATGGGAACCAACGGAAACCATTTGGAGCCCATTCAGGATCCAACTGGAAAAATAATACCAATTGGTGAGACTCATTGGCCAGTGTGCTTCCAGTTGGAACTCACTAAAACCAATTGGTTTCAGTTAAAACCAATTGGTTTCAGTTAAAACCAGTTGCAATTCTAACTGGATTTAATGGGAATTTTTAACTGGGATGCTCCGAAGCAAGGCTACCCATGGCTGGTGACACTCCCCCCCGGGAAGACTTCAGACTTCCGGCACATCTTCGGCTACACTCCAAAGCAAAAACTACACGTAGCCGGTGATGCTCCTTTCTGGGAAGACTACAGACCTTCAGTGCATCTTTGGCTATGCTCCAAAGCTAGACTTCCCTTTGCTGGTGACACTCCCACCCGGGAAGATTACAGACCTCTGGCGAATCTTTGGCTACTCTCCAAAGCAAGACTACCCATGGCCTGTGATGCTCCCGCCCGGGAAGACTATCGACCTCCTAGGCATCTTCGGCTGTGCTCCGAAGCAAGACTACCTGTGGCCGGTGACGCTTCCACCCGGGAAGGCTACGGACCTCCGAGGCATCTTCGGCTATCCTCTGAAGCAGGACTACCCGTGGTCGGTGACGCTCCTGCTCGGGAAGGCTACGAACCTCCGGCATATCTTTGGCTATGCTCCGAAGCAAGGCTACCCGTGGCTGGTGGTGCTCCTGCTTGGGCAAACTAGAAATCTCCGGTGCATCTTCAGCTACGCTCCGAAGCAATACTACCCGTGGCCCGTGATGCTCCCTCCCAGGAAGTCTACGGACCACCAGTGCGTCTTCGGCTACGTTACGATGCAAAACTACCCGTGGCCTGTGATGCTTACATTCGGGACCACTACGGATCTTTGAGGCATCTTTGGTTAAAGGCCGGCCCGCAAGCAGAGAGAAGGAACCCGACCCTCACTTTCCTTCTCGCCACTGTGAAAGGAGGAAATCGCCTCTCGTTTCCTCCTTGCCATTTTCCAATATTTTTTTTTTTTTTTTTTTGCCAGCTGCCTGTATTTTTTTTTTTTTTTTTACAAGTTTGGGGTGAAGGAAATGAAAGCTTCAAGGATCTGAAAAGATTATCCAGAAGCCAGCCGGCACACCTGCGACAAGGAGCTGAACCAACCGAGTAGCTGCTTTGAGCGAGCTCGGCACTTGCTCTTCCCAACGAGTTGCATTGGCTTTTTTTTAGCATTGGTTTGGAAGACGATTCTTTGCTGTTGTGAGAGCACAAATGCCTTGTTTTGCTCAAAGAAGTAGTCATTGAAGTACCAATTTTAATATAAATATCTGATATGCCATCTTTCGTTGTTTAGATGGCGACAACGGGAAGTACGAGCGGCGTTTTTCGGTATCTCAGGGATGGCGCTTCATAGACCAGTGGTTCTGATTCATTATGGTTCGTGGACCGGCAGAGGTGACGGAGGATCCCATCCGTAGTGGGTCTAGTACTTTTCGGTGTAGAGCGTTTTGCTGTAGGGCATTTCGGTGCGGATTTTTGGTGCACAGACATTTCAGTGTACGGACTTTTTGCTGCAAAGACTTTTCGGTGTGGGACGTTTCGGTGTGCGGATATTTCGGTGCACGGACATTTTGATGCATGGACATTCGATGCTATGGTTTGCTCGCCGGTATATCTTTTCCAACGTACGCAGACACGCTTCACATCGTGTTTGTGCGTTGAGTTGATAGAGATAGTCTCCTCTATAAGGTTTTGGCTTTATTATTCGTCCTGCGCGAAGGAAACGACCCAAACAGCAAGACGTTTGAAGTTGTTTGTGTATTCAGAACAATTTTGAATATCTTCAAATGCGCCTCCTCCGCGTAATCGCATAGCTCCGATTGTTAATAATAAATTGTAATGACCTCGCACGACAAAAAAACAACAAAAAAAACAATGTAATTATCACTTGTAACACATTAGGGAATAAAGTAGGCGTGTGCGGGTACAAAATAACTGTAATCAAATCAAATATCGATTTGAATCAAGTAAACAAGCCGAGTTCGGTGAATGCTAAATCTATTTTATTTGGTATAAAATGTTTGCTCATTCTTGTACGAAAAAAAAAACAGTGACCACAGATCATACACAGAGTAAGATCTGTGGTCAACGTCTCCTTCCATGCCGTAATGATGTCGCCGGATGTAAAGAACTGCCTTACAATCGTGCTTATACAGGGCGATTTTTTTTAACGACTAGACATTTTTTCTAAAAAAGACGTCAGAGTTACGCAATGTAGTGGACGTGAAGTGGCTCACGGCGTCCTAAAAAGCCTAATTTGGACGCGAATCGTGTTACCGCAATCTTTTCGGCCACCGCACTCCTCGCCCCTTCTACAGTGGCGTTGTCACAGCGATGCGCATGATTTGTCGCTTTGGCTTCATGGCGTTAGGCTGTGCCACGCGGAGATGGAGCCCTCATAATCGGAACTATATTTTCGCGCCCAAATTAGGAGGACGCCGTATAATAGTGTACGCGCGTTACATCTTTTTAAGAATGGACGGTTTGGTGGCCTGCGATCATGGCCAACAACTTTATAAATAGAAGATGCCGTTTTCTTTTCTAATTAAAAGGTTAATTAGCAAATTTTAGGCAATCGGTCGGTTTTAGTTGCGTTCGTTATTGAACCTAATCCTCGCCTGGCCGTATAGCTCACCTAAACAAACCGCAATGGCGCTAATTTTCACAGGACAATTTGGTGGCTTTCGATTACGCCCAACAACTTTATAAATCAACTATCCCATTTTTTTTATAATCAAAAAGTTAATTAACAAATGTTAGGTAATCAGTCGGTTTTTGTTGCGTTCTTTCTTGAATCCAATCTTCGCCTGGCCGTATAGCTCACATCCACAAAACGTTAATTTCCACGTTTTTTCTAATATCTAGTAGGTGAAAAAAAAAAAAAAAAAGAGACATTGTATATAAAACAGAGGGCAGTTCTTTTCTGATATAAATAAAGCGTGGGGCACGCGTCTTGCATGCATCTCTTTTTTTTTTTCCGGCCTATGAAAACAAATCCCGGGACATTCGAAATTGAGTTTATGATGGGGCGGGCGCTTTACCACGGGGTATTTTGTCATGTTTCATAAACTTTATTACTAGTCAGAAGGAAGCCACGCGAGCCGTATCATGTTGCAAACAGCTAATCGGGTGTTTCTCAAGCAGCTCTAGAACTTTCCAGTTGACATTTTGGTTCTTAATACATTTAAAAAAGTTTGGTACTTAGTCCTAAACATTTAATTTATTAGGCATAATTAAAATACTGCAACTCTCGCAAGACGTCTGCTCAAAACATGAAGTTGGTTTCATTGGCGTAAAGTGGCTGCGTCT